CTGCCCCCTTACCGTGCTGCCTGGAGCACGAGTGGCGGGTGGCGCTACAGCCGAGCCGTCCAGAGCACCAGGACAGGCAGCCGTGCTGCCCGGCGGGAGCCAGCCACGCCACCGCGCAGTACAGAGCACCAGGTCAGGCCGTGGCCTGGTAAAAGCTCACAGCCCTGCCGCCCAGAGCATTGCACCGGCGGCGCAGTGAGCTGAGGCTGCACAGGAGGGGGAACAGCAGGGGAGGGGCTGGGGGCTAGCCTCCTGGGCCAGGAGCTTGGGGGCCAGGCAGGAGGGTCACACGGGCTGGATGTGGCCTGCAGGCTGTAGTTTGTCCACCTCTGACCTAGCTTAATGGTCCTCCAGCTCTGGTCCAGGATCACTGGTGGCTTGTGGAGCACCTTCTTGTCTGTCACCCGGTGCTCTCTCTTCTCTGTTTCTAGCTGCTACACAACATTACAGAAGCTAATCTATGTCGAATAACTTACTATTACTTTTCCATATACACCATTCCCAGAGAGGTCATGTGATCATGGATGGGCGGAGTCATCTTCACTCTATTAGATCTGGGGCATATTATGGGAATGTTTGAGAATCTCTGCTCCAAGTCAACAGTTTGAAAGGCAACTCTGGCTAATTTAGTTGCCTACTGAAATAAATTGGGAGATCCCAGTTCAATTTCCACTGGGCACATATCCACACAACAAAAACCTTAAGGGTGTCACTTAGTGTCAATTGTGATCGTTAGCAGAGAAACTACCTGATCACAGAGACTAAGTGCATGAGGAACAAGAGAGGAACTGAACGCTGCTGCAGCTATGAGGAGTTCTGTTAATTGACTCCTTATTGAAATCTGTTCCTGCCGCTGCTTGTGGAGGGGCTGAAAAGCCCTATCTCTATATTGCTTTCGTTTCTCACAGTCATAGTGCTGTGAATCTCTAATTTTCACAACAGTGATATTGAAGTTACATTGCAGTTTCAAGCAACAGGATAGTTGCCTAGCTAAATCCTTGCCCTCTGATTTGGCAGTGCCCTTTGTGAATCCAAAGGTCATGCACAGACTTGGGGATAGATTTCTAGAGGAGCACTCTGCTGTATTAATTTAGATGAAATATATGGGTCCAAAGAGTGAAAGGTGTTAACATAAACCAGGACAGCGTTAAACAAGGTTCAGAGTGTGGTATATAGAGACCTCAGCCTGCTTAGTACCATGGCACAAGTCCTTTTAATTTTTTATTAAAGGAAGGAAGGAAAAACAGTTAAAGCACTTGAAATGTGAAGTTTTAAATAAGACATTTATTTTAACATAATTCCTTTTTCATCTTCCCTTAAGCTGGGTAAAGTTTTTAGAAAGAGGGGAAAAAAAACCTTGTTTGACAAGTCTTTCAGATAGTATGAAAAATGGTAATAACTAACTGTCCCTTTTGGGGGAAAAGAGAAGTTAATTGAGATGGGCTGGAGCGGTCATTGTTGCTGTTGTTGTTAAAGTCCAGTCCCGTTTCCTAGAAGGCAAAACAAGACACACACACACACCCCACCCCCTCACCCCCCAAAGGGAGAGAAAAGAACAGCAAAGATAGAAAATGCAGTTTCTGTCTTTGGTGTCGTCTTTCACTTGCAACTTCACAGCTGGAAAAACATAGGTCCACCACACAGTTTTATTAGACACTCTGAGACCTGGCAAACTTGTACCAGCATTGGTTTGTTTACAGCACTGCTTTTAGCTGCCTCTTTCTGGTTACAGGCTTACAGCAGTATTGCAAAATATAGCCTTGGCCAGCTAAGCCAGACTTATTAAACAAAAGAGGAAAGAGATAGAAAAAAGAAGGCATAAGGTGGGGAAGGAAAAGAACACACAGGGGGGAGGGGTCAATGACAAACTCTCACATCCCCGGCAGTGCTGGGGATTCAGCCAGAGCTGATGGATGTGGCCAAGTCATCTGGCTACTTCTTTCTGGCCCAGGCTGGTCAGGACATCTTTCAGGATTGGGAAAAAGAAGGTCTGGGGCCCTAGGATACAGTGGAGTTGGCAGCCATGATGGCAAAGCTCGATCCTTCCTCTTCTCTCGCCTTTCAGTCAGCCAGCCCAGTGCTAGCCAGCTTTCCCTAGCAGCCTCTCACACTCTCTCTCTTTCTTTTTTTTTTTTTTTTTTTATTTTTTTTTACTTTTACCGT